ATAGAATTCTATTAGGCCTGTGAGGGACGATTTACCATCTCTGAACCCATGCTGGTGGTGTGTTACACAGCTGTTTCCCTCCAGATGCTCTACGAGCCTTTTCCTCGCAATCTTCTCCATCACCTTGCATGGTATACAAGTTAGGGAAACTGGCCTGTAGTTCAGTGCCTCTTTCCTGTCACCCTTTTTGTAAATTGGGACTACATTAGCTGTCTTCCAGCTTTCCGGAAGGTCACCCGTTTCCAGTGACCTGTTATACACCATAGAGAGTGGTTAGTGCTTCTGCACCTTCTTTTAGAATCCACGGTGAGATTCTGTCAGGCCCAACAACCTTTGACACATTCAGCTCCAACAGATTCCTTTTGACCTCATCACTGGTGAGGTAAAATTCCTCCAAGGTTGTTCGGTTTGCCTCCTCATTTAGTGTAGGGACCTCTCCTTGTTCTATTGTGAAGACCTCCTGGAATCTCTTTGTTGAGTTCTTCACACACCTCTTTGTCGTTCTCTGTGTATCTGTTCTCCCCATTTCTCAGTTTCATCACTTGTTCCTTTACTGCTGTTTTCCTCCTGATGTGGCTGTGGAGAGTTTTGGTTGGGTTTTAGCTTTACTCGCTATGTCATTTTCATACTGTCTCTTTGCTTCTCTCCTCACTCTGATGTACTCATTTCTGGCCCTCTGGTATCTCTCCCTGCTCTCTGGTGTTCTGTTGTTCCTGTAGTTTCGCCATGTTCTTTTACTCAATTGCTTTTGCTGCCGCACATTCCTGGTTGAACCGCGGATTCTTCTGTTGCTTTTCATTTTTCACTTTTTGGACTGGGATAAACCTGTCTGTAGCCTCCTGACACTTCTGAGTGACAATCCATCATTTCCTGTAGTCTTTTCTCTGAGTTGTTTCCCATGGTATTCCCATTAGGAAGTTCCTCATCTCGTCTTATTTTCCTCTTCAATAATTTAGTCTTTTTACTTCCAATCCCATCCTTGGATAGGTTATCTCTACTTCTACCAGATACTCAAATATCAATGCACTGTGGTCACTCATTCCTATGGGGGCTTCATATTTGACTTCCCTTATTTCTGAGTCATTTAAGGTGAATATCAGGTCGAGTCTAGCTGGCTCGTCATTTCCTCTCATTTTTGTGGGTCCCTTGGCATGTTGGCTCAGAAAGTTCCTTGTACTCACTTCCAAATGTTTAGATCTCCATGTGGGTCCCCATTCTCCCAGTCTATCTTTCCATGGTTGAAATCGCCCATGATTAAGTCTGGATCCATTCCTGCAGGCAACTGAAGCTGCTCTCTCTATGTTAATGGTAGCCATGTTGTTTCTGTCGAACTCTTGTCTGGGTCTTCTGTCATTTAATGGAGGGTTGTAAATGACTGCCACTATTACCTTAGGTCCACCCATTGTCATAGTTCCTGTTATGTAATCTCTGAATCCGTCGCAGGCCGGAATTTCCATCTCTTCAAAGCTCCAGTCCTTCCTTATCAGCAGAGCCACTCCTCCTCTCCCGTCCCTCTCTTTCCTTACTATATAAAAGTCCATTGGAAACAGCATTTGTTTTAACTCCAGACAGTTTTGTTTCTGTGAGTCCTATTACATCTGAGTTTTCTCCCTGCGCCCTTTCTGCCAGTTCACTTGCTTTGTTGGTAATCCCATCGATGTTTGAGTACATTACCTTGAAGCTCACTTTCCTATATCCATTTTCACCCACCCTCCCCACTAGTGCAGGAAGCTGTTCCATGGGCATTGCTGCTTGGGTAGGCTCATCCTCCTGTGGGGTAGTTACCAGGGGTTCTGGGGGAGGTGGGGTAAGGGGGAAGGAGGGGCAGGGAGAGGATGGCTTAGAATGTGGAATGACCTTCCCAACCATGTTAAAGACAGTACCTCTCTCAACCAGTTTAAGTTAAAAACGAAGCTATACCTAATAAATTCCCTGTAACCTACCTTACCCCTCTATTGTCAACCTATGTATGTTTTTTGTTTTTTTTTTGTTTTTCAAATCAACGCTGTTTTAATGTAATTTTCTGTAATAATTTGTAATTGTATTTGTGCTGTTTTTTCAACAATGTTCCCCCCTCTTTTACCCCTATTTTTATTTGTACTCAACGCATTTTTTCCTTTTTACCCATTAGTTTTAAGCTTTAGTCAGTAGTGTTTTTTCCTGCCCGAAACGCTTTGCGTAATAGTGGCTTTAGGCATTGTATGTACTAGCTCTATCTATAAAGCCAACAAACTTTGTAAAATCTCTTTATGTATGTACCTTTGCCTAAATAAAAATTATTATTATTATTATTATTATAGAAGTGGGGTGGGGGATGGAGGACTTAGTTCGTGTCTGGGCCGGCTTGGGGCAGGAGGAAGACCAGGGGGTGGGAGGGAAGGGGGTACTTGGGGTAGGGGGGAAGGGGGTACTCGGAGTAGGAAGGGAGGGTGGAATTGGGTGGCACTTCCCACCTATAGGGTGGTGAGTTGAGATGTTGCAGTTCCCTCTGGGGTTCCAGAGTTGCTGGGTTGGGGTTCCACATACCCCCCCTGGGATTGCTGGGTTGGGGGTTGAGGTTCCCTGGCTCCCTTCCCTCAGCCTGCGCCTTTTCCTTGCAAATGCTGCCTGTATTATCTCTTTCCTGGTCATGTCCCTCTGAAGGAATACCTGCCTGTAATTCGTTACATATTTCCGTTTGCTCTTTTTTACTAGGATGTCCTCTTTGATGCACTCGTTTTTTACCACTACCTTGATCAACCGGTCTTGTCTTTGTTGTACTGGCCAATCCGGAAAAACTTTTCTATGTCTGTTTCAGCCCCTTCCATACCTATCTCCTTTAGTATCCTTGCCACTGCAGCTTTGTCCTTAGACCTCCATTCTTCCCTTGTGGAACCCTCTTGTTCCTTAACACCTATCACTACTTCAGCTCTTTTCCTTTCCAGTAACTGGCTCGTGCATCTAGCTGCCTCCTGTGAGGTTACTGCTTTCATTACAACTTCCTTGACTGTGGACATTGCACCTGGGCTCTTCATCATTTCAGCAAAGGAGCCACCCATTGTAGGGGTCCCTGCCATTGCTGCATCTCCTGGTACTTGGGGGTTGGTCCCCTGGGCCACAGTCGAGGAGATCCTGTTTTTAGGTTTGTTATCTCCTCTTGCGCTGTACTTAGTTCATTCTGCAGTTCATTTATGAGTCCTCTTATGTCTTTCAGTTCCTCAGTGATTTCCCTCTATGCGCAAACAGTCATCTCCATGTAAGACTTGTCCTGTTCCTCTCCTCCACTGTCATGTCTGATTTGCATTGTTAGCCTTGTAGCCCTCAACTGTTCCTGGTATGAGTGTTCACTGATTCACTCAATACCAGGCTCTCGTGGCCCTCAACCCAGCAGCCAAGTATAAACTCATGGATTTTCTGTATGAAGATGTGGATTTGAGAACACTTTCTGATTGTCTGAAATTTAAACCGAGACTATCAACTATATCATGTACTAGACTGCAGAGGTAAGGAACTTGCAATCTTTGAAAGCAATTTAAATTAATGAAACACTTGATCTGTTAGTTTGTCTTTAACATATTTGAATGTATACAGTGCATAATCCAGTGTGCGACCTAATGAAATCTTTGCTAAGTAAAATATGGCATTCATATGACAAAAAGTTCCCCACCTTTGTACTAGAGAATATGTATGCTAAGGAAATTGAGTGAAGTTAAACTTTTTAATTTTGACATCCCATAAAAATACAATAGGTAGTTTCCAGGGCTACCATCCGGTGTCTGATCTATCTGATCACCTTAGGAAGCTTTGTATAATAAAAATTCATGGTTTAAGTAAGCTACTATACAGTTTTCATAGTACTGTATTCAGATATGGTAGCCATAGACCTATTATATCTGGGCTATACATGCTCAATACTGCAGTCTCATAATGTGGACACACATTATTAACACTGCATGACAACATGCTTTCACTCCTACCTCATCACTGTGCTTGGTCTTTCTTGGGCCATGTTTCCAGATATCTCCAAGTAAAGTGATTCACTACTTCAAGCCAAAATCTCCAGTTGTCTTCAGGTTGTCGCACTGGTCTGGATGTGGCAATGGTATCGCTTTTCCTGTGGACCCAGGGGTCTGGGGGTCCTCAACTTCGGCCAGTTGCCAGAGCTCGGGGATCTGCATTTACAGTTCTCACACCCAGGTGTCTTGCCCACTGACTCCTGACATCCCTCTTGGATTTTCTGGTTTAGCCAGCTGTTGGCTTGTCTTCACTCTTGCTGTGTTTAAATGGCTAATGCTTGGGCTCAGGACTTGTTCTGGGTGGTCCGTCTGGGTGTTGACCTTGGCTCTGCTTGTAGGTCAGGTGCGTATGTTTTATATGTTTATACTGTGGAAATGATTGTTTGCTTTATTACCCAAGGGAAATTAAAATCTTCAATCAAGAGTTTGTTTCTTAGTTTAGAGTTTATCTCTGATCCCCAAACTCCCCTTGCTTTGTAGAACAAACCATATTTTAGGCTTAACTGGACCAGTGCTTAGCTTGGGTAGCTACTGAGACCACCACCAGAAAAGGGCCTTTCATTACATTCAATACAATTTGTTTTTATACTTTCAATTTTGTTTTTCATGTTTCATACATTTAAATTTATAAAATTATATATACTGGTTTAAACAATTATAATGTTAAATTATCCTAAACATTCACAGAACAATACATATAGCACAGAGATGTAAAATGGGACATACAAGTTCAGTATTTTAAATATTACAGAAATAAATCAAATGGAACACTACAGGCTGTTGAAGTTCCTATCCATGGCATAATACTTAGCATATGGATACAAAACAATATACTGTACTACCAATAACTTAAAAAAAAGTACATAAATAAACAATTTATAAATAAACAAACTTGGTAAATACAAAAAATATTTAATGATACTTTTTCATGTAAAAAAAATTATATTTACAGTACTGTATATTAATGTAAGTGGGGAAAAATATGAAGACAATAAAGATATTATATAAGATTTTATAAAATATTTATTTAAAAAACACACATACATTTCTTTACTTAAAAATATATAAAACATTACCAAATAATTTAATACTGCATATTAACATATACAGTATTGTATATTTTAAATTGTAGATTATGCTCATCTTTGGGAAAAGAGTTCCCAACGCCCACAGAACCGGCCTATTTCCTTGCATTTTTGACACATGTTTTGTGGATGTTGGGGTATACCTATACGAGGACCACTCCCTTTCAAAGGTGGAAACTGTTGGTAGAAAAATATACAGTAAGTTAATTATGCAAGTTAATATTTATACTGTATACAGTATATATTTTGCTCATGTCAAAAATAGAATTTTACTCATTTGTTCAATATTATATATATATATATATATATATATATATATATATATATATATATATATATATATATATATATATATATATATATATATATATATAAACTGAAAACTCACACCCCAGAAGTGACTCGAACCCATACTGCCAGGAGCACTGCTGGCATACAGGATTCCTTACCCGCTCGACCAACACGACCGGACAAAAGAGGATGATAGCCGAGGCTATTTCCATCCCCCCGCCGGCACTCGGTTGGTAATCTTGGGCATGGTATTTTATCAAATCACCTCATTCTTTGGGGCACATGTGAGGAACACAAATGCAAACAAGCCTGAATGGTCCCCAGGACTATATGCAACTGAAAACTCGCACCCCAGAAGTGACTCGAACCCATACTGCCAGGAGCACTCTGCTGGCGTACAGGATCCCTTAACTGCTCTACCAACACGACCGGACAAAAGAGGATGGTTGGATGGTTTTCAGTTGCATATAGTTCTGGGGACCATTCAGGCTTGTTCGCATTTTTGTGGATATCCTCTAGGCAGGGACATCCTCTACTGCCTCCTCCTCCTCCTCCCCTGAAGATTTGTTGTACTGTCTAGCTAGTTCAACATCATGTGTACCATTTTCATGTTTACAAATGATCTCTTGTTTTTCCCTCTATGGTCATTCTCACATGTGTTTTCTTGCCTTGAACCTTACCACTGGCTTTCTTGGGACCCAGGACGAGATATATAATAACAACTTTTATGTTCAAATAGCCAAAAATTCCCCAAAAATGTAAATCCTTGCAAAGAATTCAGGTGGGATAGTCACTAGGTGGGAGGCACTGGGAAACTGAGGCGCAATCGCCGTGCCACCACCACGCACTAGGTCTGCCATACGCGTATCAATAAACTCGTATCCTGAGGTAAAGTTCGTAACCAGATTCAAATTTTCCGAAGAAATCGGACTCGTAACCCGAAAAGTTCGTAAAGAGTGGCATTCGTAAACCGAAGTACCACTGTATACACATATACAGGTACTGTATATATTGCCAACATCAAAGCACACAGGAATTATACGTATATACTACGTATATACTAAATACGTACATACCAGGTACGTATATACTAAATACGTACATACCAGGTACGTATATAATAAATACAGTACTGTATATATTGCCGACATCAGAGTACAGGGATCAGTGACTGTCAAGATAGCCCAAGACAACTCAGTATCGATGATGCAGAGGTAGACAAGAGAAGTAGTGACTAGCAATGTCAGATTCAACCTTCAACCCCCCTAAAACCTGATGTTAGCAGATAGCATTTACTGATAAGAATGTGATGAGAAACACACTTTACAAGGTTATGAGGAAAAGATAAAATGGGATCAATTCCATTTGAAACTGAGGCTCCTCACCAAATGCAGGTTGTGAGTCTTCAAACGTGGTACAAATGTACAAGGATTCACAAACAAAGCATTAGACTAAAAGTGTCAGAAAACATTTAGAAAACAGCAGAGACGCCACTGGGCATAATATGCGAGACACAAAAGTGCAAACAAACTAAGCTTGAATAATAATAGCCCTGCAAACACATAATGTAACTGTCCCTATTTTCTGCTTGTTACAACTTGTAATAAGGTTGTTACATCTTGTTATATTGTTTTTATGCTGTATTGGAATGTTGTTACAACTTGCTGTATTGGTCGCTACAACTTGTTAGGTGTTAAAACTTGTTCGAATGTTGTAGCGACGTTGTAGTTTCCTCGTGTGTTTGGCAGGAGGCTTCTGTTGAAAAGCAGACAATCCATTCTTAGCAAGAGGGGGGGGGGGGAAGGAGAAGACTGTACCTGGCTTCCTGTTCTGGTCAAGTCCACTAGGGTTAGTGACCCCTCAGGTAAAACTATGACCAGACCAGAACATCAAAGACTCAGCCTGGCACCATAAAATATGAAATTTACCCAAATTGTTACCAGTAGCATGAGCTGACAAAAACAAGTTTTTCAAGATGGCTCATCAAAAGAATGCAAGACCTGAAAATGAAAAAAAAAAAAATCCAAGACCTGACCCAAAAATTAAAAAGCACTAAAGAAGCCCCTAGAAGAATGAAGATGAAAGAAGGCATGAGCCAGCTTCATGAACAGAGGAGATGACAGACTGCTCCCAAGAGCAACAACACTAGACAAAGAAGAGAAAACATTACAAAAGAGTGCCATGCTACCTTATATTGATGATGAGAAATAGGTTTATGGGTTCCAGAAAATGAGAGAACATGTCAGCATTGTAGAGAAATGCCTGACGACAACACAAACATTATCTAACACAGTGCAGAGTTACAAACCAAATAAGATTTCGACTGAGATTTAACAGCATAGAAGTTGCTAAACACTTTGGACATAATCTTTCTGAAGTCAACCTACGAATCATAAATACTTATCAACCATCTAGGTAAGACAGAAACGAGAAATGAGTAACACTTCTTAGGCCAGCCAGAGGCTTAGGGCCCATGCAAAAATACCCCTGGAAAAAAAACAAAAATTACATACATACATTATACACATGTATAATGTAATAATATAATAGATATATTTTTATTTTTTTTTTAGATATATACAAGAGTTGTTACATTCTTGTACAGCCAGTTGTACAGCCAGCCAGTTTGGGAGCTGGTCGGCCGAGCGGACAGCACGCTGGACTTATGATCCTGTGGTCCCGGGTTCGATCCCGGGCGCCAGCGAGAAACAATGGGCAGAGTTTCTTTCACCCTTGCCCCTGTTACCTGGCAGTAAAATAGGTACCTGGGTCAGCTGTCATGGGCTGCTTCCTGGGGGGTGGAAGCCTGGTCGAGGACCGGGCCACGGGGACACTAAAAAAAAAAAAAACCCGAAATCATCTCAAGATAACCTCAAGATAGCCACTAGTACGTGTAGCGTTTCGGACAGGTCCCTGGAATACGATCCCTGCCGCGAAGAACTGTTTTTATAACCAAGTATCCATTTTACTGTTGAGTTAAACAGAGGCTACAGTTAAGGATTTGAGCCAAGTAAATCCTTCCCAGCCAGGATATGAACTCATGAGAAAGCGCTCGCGGAACGTCAGGCGAGTGTCTTACCACTACACCACGGAGACTGGTAAGTCTCCGTGGTATAGTAAGTCTCTAAGTATAAATTATTACATACATATTATTTATATATATATATATATATATATATATATATATATATATATATATATATATATATATATATATATATATATATATATATATTATTAAATATGACCGAAAAAGTAAGATTAATAATTCTAACACGAATTTTCTCAATCTTTTGTACATTTCTTTTCACTGTTGGAGGTAAATCAAAAATCAATTCTCCAAAATTCATTTTTATTTCTAGTCTGACGCGACACGAGCGCGTTTCGTAAAACTTATTACATTTTCAAAGACTTTTAGTTTACAAATACACAACTGAATAGAACTTACACATCTCCTGGTTTCGTTTATATCTACATTTGAGTGAGGTGGATGGGGTGAGGTGGCATTAATAGGGTATTAATTTCATCAACACAAGACAGAACAAGAGGTGGCATTAATAGGGTATTAATTTCATCAATATATATATATATATATATATATATATATATATATATATATATATATATATATATATATATATATATATATATATATATATATATATATATATATGTATTATATATTATATATTATATTTATATACACACACACCTGTTGATTGACGATTGAGAGGCGGGACCAAAGAGCCAGAGCTCAACCCCCCCAAACACAACTAGGTGAGTACACACGCACACACACACAGGCAGGCAGCTCCCCAATTACAAACAAGTTATTTTCTGAGACTGTATTTGTAAAGCATTTGTTTGGAATGCAAATTGAGATTTTCCTCTCATGGTGTGGATGACCCTCACTGTACGTTTTTACCAAAGGCCTTTGATTCGCCTCCATTCCAATATTTCACTGGTGGTTCTCTGTCTCAATTGAGGGTTCTTTTTCCTCACTCTCCTACTATGACATTGGACTCTGCTATTACTTTAGTTTCTTTCCTATATTCTCTGAATTTAATTCTCCAGGTTCATCACATTCATGGAGTTTCAAATGCGCTTGCAGATGTTCTCTCATTTTTGCCAAATTCCATCAGAATAAGAGGTGACGATGACACCATTCCACTGGCTATGTGAGACATTTAGTTGTTCTCAAGTGTACCTGTTTGTCTCTGTGTGGAACAACAAGATTCATGCCTGTGACTGCTCCTTGACGGTTATTTTCTTCGGATGCAGTGTGTATAGACTGGAATTAGGAATAAATGGGAATTCATTTATCTCTTTCCTCTTGTCTGGTTGTTTCTCCACATCCAAACTAGAGAACATTTGGGCTTGATCTTGTTGCTAACTTCATGTGGGTAACTTCACCATTGGTTCCTGATTCTCCTCTGACAGTGCCATCATCCAGTGCTCTTCCCAAACTTCTTCTGGCTGAGGCAATTAGCAGTTGAATGTATGTAGAATTTTCTCTGTGGTGCTCCTTGTCTTTGGAGCTGTTAGAACAGTAATATTGCCCTCTTTTTGCAAGGCAGGTGACACATTTGTTAATCATTCACATATTTGCTTTCCATAATTTTTTCTCTCCATAAATTAATTTTTTTGGGCAGGTATATTATTACATGAACCCTAAGCCTCTGACTGGCCCACTGAGTGTCTCATTTCTGTGTTACTTAGGCAGTTGATTAATATTTATGACTCATTCGTTGACTTGTGTAAAATTATGTCCAATTTGTTTAAAAACTACTTCTGTGCTGTTAAATCACAGTTGAATTCTTATTTGGTTTGTAACTGCACTTAGATAATGTTCCAGTGGTTTGGGATTTCTCCACAATGCTGACATTTCCTCTCAACTTCTGAAACCCATAAACCAATGTCCCATCATCAATATAAGGTAACGTGGTACTCTTTTCTACATGTCAGACAGTAAATTTGCATGCAATACTATATTTAACAGAAGAGACATAAATGTCAAACTGGGACTGTGGAAGCACAAGACTGAAGCAAATGCTTTAGCTTCATTCACTTGACCTAGATGATCCTGCTCTGGAGATTTAACTCTTAATTTATATAAATCCAAAACACAGAAAGAAACTTGGCATAAACACTGTAACAGCTATGAATTTGATATGCTGCTGAGAATATTAATGTTGTGACTTATTTATATAATCAGATGGTTACAACTACCTATATATAGAATATATTATCTGCATTATGATGCATTCTCAGTAGCCTGCAAATTTAAGAGCATTGATACATTAGAGTTAAATTATATTCTGTAATTAAAAAGATAACAAAATATAATTTCATCTTACCTGTCTATAAGGATATATCTTGCCATTACAACTTAAGCATTTTTGGTAACAGTTGGCCCAGGAGTTAGCAGAGAACCAATGTTTATCACATTTTTTACAATGGAACATTCCACACGCTCTCCTTTTGCCTTGATATGGGGTCAGACAAGCAGTTTCAACCATTTTCTGTGGATTATATTGATCCTGTATAGTAGCTATTAAATACTTATCAAACAATTAAATATATTCTATCTTAATATGTGTGTAAACATTTAGTGAAAGTGAGGGCAAGCTCATTAAACTTAACTGATTGATATTGGTGAACAAATTACAAAGAAAAAATTAAGAAATAAAAAGCAGCATTGAATGTAATGAAATGCCTTTCTGGTAGAGCCCTGATGGCTCCCTGAAGCTATCTTGTCAGTGAGGCTTTACAGACAACTGGAAGATTCACAGAAAATGAAGTCGTGAAGCACCCAAATAACTCTGCAAACAATTCACACAGAACAAGAGATTCACTCAAACTACTTTAGCTCAAAATTCGTTAGTACCGATCATCACTACCAGGTGCCTTGGCCCCAGCCTGCAGCCAGTTCTCCCTGACCAGTCAGTTGTGTTGCTGATGTAGTGATGGTGGTGGTGGCAACTAGTACCTATAGTGCTATGGTCAGCCAGTTGTGGCAAGCTCCTTTGCTTTAAGCTAAGTGCCAGACATTGTTGGACTTTGTTTCATCCTGTGGGGGTCTTTTCCTTGTTGTTGTGTTCCTTCTTTTAGTGTTAGCTTAACGTGTGTGTTTTCTCTGGCTTGTTGTGTGGGCTTGGCTCTTGTTGTATTTTGGGCTACATGTGCTCAGAGTTTTTTTCCTGGTGCCTACTACTGCCCTTGCACAGTCAAGGGCAGTGTACGGGAACGGGAAGGAATGCTTTCTATAGTGCCTTCGGGAATTCGCTGCCAAGAGGCCAGGCCACCTGGGTGGAGAGCCTCACCTTTGGTTGTTTATGACTCTTTAATTCCTCTCCTTGGCCTCTTGGCTGGGAGTATTCTTTTGGTTGTGCTGGGGGTGTTCTTTGGTTGTGCTGGTGCATGTTGGGATTCGTATCCTTAATTTTATGGTGCACTGTGGTCGCCTTGTAGCCTGGTTGTTTTGGTTGCGTTTGGCCACTTTTCTTCTGACAAGCAACCCTAGTGCCTGGGACCTATGCTTGGTTAGCTACCTTCAGCCCTGGTAATCCTCCTCACAGGTCTTTGGCGTGATCCATTATGGATTGGCACATCAAGCCCACATTCACAAAATGCGAGCTTAAAGGGTGTTCATTGTCTTTGCTACTTGACAAGAATCATTCTTTCTGCCTCCGCTTGCTGGGTCGGTAACACCCATGTGAGTCTTGTGAGATGTGTTCTCACTTGGTCTCTGCTCTTACAGATTCAGCTACAAATTTGGAAGCTTTTTAGGTGGCTACCACTTTGCAACCTACCTTGAGGTTACCTTGAGGTGCTTCCGGGGCTTAGCGTCCCTGCGGCCCGGTCGTTGACCAGGCCTCCTGGTTGCTAGGTACCTAGTACCTAATCTGAGCCTAGGTTTGCTCAGGTTAGGCATTCACAGTATACTGATTGTCTGCAGGCCCAAAGTTGGCCCCTATGGTTATCTTACCTTGAGGTTACCTTGAGGTGCTTCCGGGGCTTAGCATCCCTGCGGCCCAGTCGTCGACCAGGCCTCCTGGTTGCTGGACTGGTCAACCAGGCTATTGGACGTGGCTGCTTGCAGCCTAACGTACGAATCACAGCCTGGTTGATCAGGTATAAAAGTGTTTATAGATTCAGAATTGAAGGTGTTGATGACACCTGAACTAGTTATGTGCCTCCTCTTCCTTCCCCTGCTAGTGTGGTTTGTCCTACATGCAGATTTGTTTTGATACCTCCTGCAGAACTTGGATCTCATTTTCCTTGATGGAACAAGTCTCTTTCGAGTAGGGGTCGGTCATGGCTTACTGGCTACAGTGTGAGGTCTCATCCTGGCTGGTTGACAACCTTCTCTTTTTGGGGGGAAGGGAAGGGGTGGTAATCAGCCCGACCTTCATGGAGTGATTGCTCCATAAATAAAGACACTAGACAATAAAGCTGAAAATTTATATAATAATATAAGTGGTATGCATTTGCATGCCACATCTGAAAACATTTTGTTGGAGAATTTTAAAGTTTCTGACTAATAATCAAACTGTTCTCTTAAAAATAACGTCACTTTTCGCTCGTATGCGCGCTATGGCCAAATTTGGACGTAATTTGAAATGAAATCGACTCACAAAAGTGACGTTCTGTTCCGTTTTCTGTTTGGGTTGTCCGGCTTTCTCGGCAAGCTTAGAAAAGGAAACTTTCCATTAACGTTTTTCATACCGTTCTGAAACTTTATGAGAATTTCCTGCCCACCTAACCTATCAGAGGACCCTTAACTTACTGTTGTTGAAAAAAAAATCCCAAATTTATTTTCATTTTTTTTTAATTTTCAAATTACGTCCATATTCAGCCATACGGGTAAACGGCCAAAAGCAACGTTCTTTTTTAAAAGGACAGGTTGTAATAATAGCCTTTATCCTTATCAATAAATATCTGTACAGTATTTATCAATATTCTGTACTGTACTCTATAAACTACAGTAGCTCTGAAAGCCAACTTCCTAAGTTTTATGGAAAAGAATAAGCTCTACAACCAAATTCAGTATGGCTTTACCACATGAAAAAAAAGACAGGAAGTCCTAAACTACAAGCCAGTTTAATATGCACTGCATGTAAAATGTGGTACTTAGAACAGTAAGGGAGAACATTAAAGCCCTTGGAGTAAATGCATTTGTAACCGATGGGCAACGTGGTGTTAGAGGTGGAAAGTCATACCACACAAATTTAAGAGATCTAAAGCAAGCTGTGTAGACTGCATTTTCATAATGTGAACACTGTTTATATTGTTCACTACACAAGGATAGTTAGTGTATAAGGTGCAAAAGCATGCTGGGATAACTGAAAAGACACAGAGAAGAATATAGAAGAGCTTGACTGACAGAAAAGAGAGGGTCATAGAGATGTAGCAAGTAGGGTTCCTCAAGGCTTGGTAGGGCCTGTATTCTCTGTTTTTCTTAATCTATGTAATTGGCTTATCAGTACCTGAATGTAGATGTTTGTACCAGTATGTAAATGTTTGGAGACAACACAAAACTACTGAAAAAAAAAGAGTAAAAACTGAGGACTGCAGAATATGGCAGGAAGATTGACAAACTGCAGGAGTGGGCTGACAAGCAGCTTCAAGAGTTCTACTGCAGCAAGGATAAGACTGAAAGAGGGAAAAGATATCAGAAGGAAACTACATCATAAAAGGAAGTCTTCAAGAACCTTGACAAGAAGGTCAGTCATATTCAGCACATGACTGACCTATGCAATACAGTACCAGCACTGAGCCCCTCATTTTAAAAAGACCAAAAAATTGTCATGTCATGAAATTGAATGTCATGAAATGCCAGTTTCTGGGTGAACCCCGGAGGCTCCCCGACACTTCAGGGAGCCAACGTGGTTCCCCACTGAAATAAAGACTTAGAAATTAAAGATTTATTACAAGAATGGTTCCTAAACTGAGGTAAAGGAGCTTTTCACCCCAAACCTATAGGGTGAAAAAACATCTCCTGCTCTCAGTACATACAACACTGTGCTGTAGCTGTTCTTAATCCTAGAAAATAACCTCCAGAGGGTTATTACGGCCACCACAATAGTTTACAGACCAACTAGCAAGAATACTTTACTTCAGCACTAATGTAAACTTTGTGTGTATACTCATCCCTGATCAGTTATTAGTGGGTTGTTGTTGTTGATTGAATTGGGTGGGTTGTTGTTGCCGACGATCGTTGGATCCGATGCTTATTATTGGACTAGGTTCTTCATCTTGATGGTAGTTTGGAAGTTTCATCTTGATGGTAGTTTGGAAGTCTCATCTTGATGGTAGTTTGGAAGTTTGTCTTGATGGAAGTCTTCTTGGTGGAAGTTTCAGGGTCAGCCACCTGGGCGTGTCGATAACGTCAGCTGAGCGAGGGGTGTATCGAGCGTTTGTTGTGGTCCAGCCATGGTTACCAACCTCACATACTAACACTCAATACATTAAGTTGGTAGCCCTCGCTCGCAACATTCCCGACAATACGGTACTCATCACAACCAAAGTTATTTAACAATGGTAAATCTCTGGTTATCTCAAATTTATGATTGACTCAAACGGATGTCAAATACCGATCATTGTTTCATATATATTGTATAAATATCTATTGAAAATCTATATATTGTATATCATTAATTATCTCCAATTTAACATAATCAACACATTAATAAATTACGTCTACAATGATTAATGTGATGTCAATCACTATAAACCAACCATCACAATAATACCACAGCCACCACCCATCCAATTAAGAAACTATTAGGGTAACATGGTGAAACAAATTCAAGCTAACTATTGGCTACCGCTCCTATCCATTATTAAGTTTAATTTGTATATGACCTCCAGAACCCGTCAATATACTAACACAATTCCTGACTGATGTGTGGGTGCTGTGACCCTGGCAAGCTAGCCAGCCTGCTGGCACAATTCGCAGAAAATGCCCGAATTCCAACCCAACCACCATAGGTATACATCATATTGGTTAGAAATACTCACCATGCACTGGTTACTCTCAAGAATTTTACAAATAATATCACTTGTGACAAGTTGACACTAACCAGGCAGAGCTTGAAGCACTATATAAAGGTGTCTAGGTGTGTTGGTGGAGTGCCTGGCTGAGGGAGGAGTGAGCTAGCGGCTGGCAGCATGCGTGGTATGATAAGGCCGACTGAACGACGTGATCAAGACCAGTTCAGTTATCATGCGCCTGTGCCAGAACGTATAATACTTTCCTATTAGTGTCTACAGGGTGTGAGGTCTTGTTATGACTCGCCTGTTAGACTTATTGTACCTATTGTGTTACAATGTAAATATTCTGACATTCGAATTCCTTGTCAAATCGTGCGTGTTTATGCATGTCTATCAACATGTCTACATGCCTTGTATTATACAAGACACGTATACAAGTTGCATACATGCCTATACAAGTTCCATGTCTGTCGGCATGGAGAGAAAATCTTAAGCTGTGGCTACAGGTGGTTTCTATTATTATTTACTTGATCACAAACTTCAGCCAATGGAATTCGTGACCAGTATACAACATGGTCACAGCTATATTTAGCGCGGTAGGTGGTGGTTGTGACACACACTCGACGGAAGTTTACAACCTGATAAGCACGTGTTTCCTCACACACATATTTCTAACAATTCTGATGCGTCAGACTTTACCACTGCTCGCAATATGGGAATTTTACCCGAGGGCCACTAATATTAGTGGCCTCTACGAGGACAGGAAGCCGGCACCTTGTCAAAGGTCCCCCCCCCCCACATTTGCCCTGATATTTTTTTCCAGCTGTATTTACCCAACCACATGGGCTGGACGGTAGAGCGACGGTCTCGCTTCATGCAGTTCAGAGTTCAATCCCTCACCGTCCAAGTGGTCGGGCAACGTTCTTTCCCCCTCATCCCATCCCAAATCTTTATCCTGATCCCTTACAAGTGCTATATCTTTAAACAATGCTGTTTGTCGACCAAATTGTATTTTTGCTGTTTTTCTGCCATGTTCCCCCTTTTTTATTTTTATATTTTCTCAACACATTTTATACTTTAATCTCAATTAGTATTTAGTTTTAGTCTTTAGTGTTTTTCCTGCCCGAAACACTTTGCGTAATAGTGGCTTTAGGCATTGTATGTACTAGCTCTATCTATAAATTCATCAATATTTGTATCACTCCTTGTATGTACGTACTTTACCTGAATAAACATTTGAATTTGAATTTGAATATAGTCATAATGGCTTGCCGCTTTCCTCTGATAGTTCCCTTCCCTTCCAGCTGTATTTTAAAACCCAGCAGAGTTTCGGCGTTTACGGCTTCAGCGGGTAGGCGGTTCCACAAGTTTACAACCCTATGGGTGAAAAAGTATGTCCTGTTTTCTGTCCTACATTGTGGCCTGTTGATCTTGAACCCGTTGTCCCTCGGTCGTGTTACATCTGACATTTTGAAGAAAGTGTCCAGCTCGACATCGTTCAAATTGTTCAGTATTTTGAAGGTTTCTATTAGATCCGCCCTGTCATCCCTGGTCTGTAGTGATGTTAGTCCAGTGACCCACAACTGTTCCTGATACGAAAGATGACTAAGCTCTGGTATGATTTTTGTTGCCCGGTGTTGCACCTTCTCCAGAGCAGCTGTGTCTGTCTCCATGCCTGGATGCAATAATCCAGGTGGGGCGCACCAGAGACTTACACACTTGAACGACAACTTTCTTTTCCGTGAAGGCAAAGGTAAGCTTGATTATTCCCAAGGTATGGTTCGCTTTTTTGTACTGCCGCTCCCACTTGTTGTGCAGTTTTTAGTGGATGATGTATTCTGATACTAAGGTCCTTTTCTTCATCTATCTGTTGTAAGGTAGTGCTGTCATTTGCTAGTTGTGACGTGGATTGTTATGCCCCACATGGAAGGTCTTACATTTATCGACATTAAAGAGCATTTGTCAGTCATCTGATCATTTGTGGAGTTCATGTATATCTCTTTGTAAAATCTCAATGTCACTTTCACTTCCCACTTTACTATAGATCATTATGGGAATGAGATCATTATGGGAATGAGATCATTATGGGAATGAGATCATTATGGGAATGAGATCCATTAGACAATCTACATTAAACTACAAACTTCCGTACTCCCCGGTGGGATTAAGTTACTTAATATATTTTTTATCTGTATTAAAGGTGAACATTTAGTGTTGTGTAAAAAAATTAATAGCAAATAAATAATATTAATCTCTATGTTGTTTTCAGAAATAAATAAATGTTCACTTTGTTTCAACAAACATCATAATGTTTTGATAAATACACATCCACTAAATTATTTTCACTTTGTTTTCACCAATCGTGAAATTTAATTACTTGCCACTGAAATAAAAATTGAAATAAGTTTATTGAGGTACAAGACAATCCATTCTCCTGTTTTGATGGTATTTTTTTGCGGTCGATCGTACCGATATAATGGAGCCCCAGTAAGCCACTTTTTGTACCATTTTTTAATAGATTCCGGAAAATATTCCCAAAACGAATATAAGCATGATATATGTTACGTGTAAACAAGTCTTTGAAAATGTAAGAAGCCCTTACGAAACTCATTTACATATCAGACCAAAAATAAAAATGTAAAAAATTTATTTTGGAGAGTTAATTTTTCAATTACCCTCGACAGTGAAGAAAAAAACGTATATATATATATATATATATATATATATATATATATATATATATATATATATATATATATATATATATATATATATATATATACTATATTATCCCTCAGATAGCATGTATTAGGTTAGGTTAGGTTAGGTTAGGTTAGGTTAGGTTAGGTTAGGTTAGGTTAGGTTAGGTTAGGTTAGGTTAGGTTAGGATAGGTTAGGTTAGGTTAGGTTAGGTTAGGTTAGGTTAGGTTAGGATAGGTTAGGTTAGGTTAGGTTAGGATAGGTTAGGTTAGGTTAGGTTAGGTTAGGATAGGTTAGGTTAGGTTAGGTTAGGTTAGGTTAGGTTAGGTTAGGATAGGTTAGGTTAGGTTAGGTTAGGTTAGGTTAGGTTAGGATAGGTTAGGTTAGGATAGGTTAGGTTAGGTTAGGTTAGGTTAGGATAGGTTAGGTTAGGTTAGGTTAGGTTAGGTTAGGTTAGGATAGGTTAGGTTAGGTTAGGTTAGGTTAGGATAGGTTAGGTTAGGTTAGGATAGGTTAGGTTAGGTTAGGTTAGGTTAGGTTAGGTTAGGATAGGTTAGGTTAGGTTAGGTTAGGTTAGGTTAGGATAGGTTAGGTTAGGTTAGGTTAGGTTAGGTTAGGATAGGTTAGGTTAGGTTAGGTTAGGTTAGGATAGGTTAGGTTAGGTTAGGTTAGGTTAGGTTAGGTTAGGATAGGTTAGGTTAGGTTAGGTTAGGTTAGGATAGGTTAGGTTAGGTTAGGTTAGGTTAGGTTAGGTTAGGTTAGGATAGGTTAGGTTAGGTTAGGTTAGGTTAGGATAGGTTAGGTTAGGTTAGGTTAGGTTAGGTTAGGTTAGGTTAGGATAGGTCTTAACAGCAACATTAATATAAAAAAAAACATTTCCGGCTTGTCCAAATTCAATAATACAACAGTATACTTTCTGGTGGTCCATCACGACATGTTGGTACTTTCGACCCCATCGTTACTATCAGTACTCTCACTTTAGGAGGATAGGCTGTACAAGTACACAACGCGGATGAGGCTGCTCTAACTATCCTCATCCCGTCAAGCACATTAACGTGTTCAATTTCTCCACCCCACATCACAAACAATCGATATATTATTGATCATTCTGGTTGATAAACATACAGCATGTTCTTATATATATATATATATATATATATATATATATATATATATATATATATATATATATATATATATATATATATATATATATATAAATTGACACTATAATTAATAAACATTGGTTACACTTGAATTTCAGATCCAATTTCCAATTTCTTTTTTTATTATGCACCCCATACCCATCCCGTGGGCGGTGGTGTAAAGGATTACAGAGGCACATAATCGGTTCAGGAACTGAACCCTCTAGTTCGTTTAGCTAAGCAAATAACAATCTTTTGACGCTAGTTACACAATTATTAATGTTATATATACATGTATACATACTCATGCATACATGTACATATACATATATATACATACACATACATATTTAATCACCCACTCAAATACACTCATCAATATTCTTTCTTTAACGGTTTTGTGCATTGTTGCGCTCGACACGTGGGCGGATATCGGGCGGATGTCTCAGGCTATCTCTGTCACGGTGACTGAACGCGCGGGTATCTTATCGATCTCCAAACGTACAGGATTACCGCCAGAGCAAGTTGACTTCCACTTTTAGTCAACAGGGCCAGGATTCGCCACACATTTACACACCCACTTGGGCCGGACGGTAGAGCGACGGTATCGCTTCATGCAGGTCGGCGTTCAATCCTCGACCGTCCAAGTAGTTAGGCACCATTCCTTTTCCCTCCGTCCCATCCTAAATCCTTATCCTGACCTCTTCCAAGGGCTATAGAGTAGTAATGGCTTGGCGCTTTCTCCTGATAGTTCACATCCCTTACACAACCATTGACGAAATCTACGAATTTGCCCTCAATTTGTGTATTTTCGGCTGTTTTCATATATTAGACAATTTACAAGTTTTGAAACTTCACAACCCTCGGTTAATTAATGTTATGAACAACCTCATGTGCTTCGGAGCTCATAAACTGTTTACTAAATGTAAACAAAGCTGTGGTGATTGAGGAAAGATGCACATGTTTCACACACACTCTTCCCCTGAAGCGGCTTGACAGCTGAGTGGACAGCGCTTCGGATTCGTAGTCCTGAGGTTCCGGGTTCGATCCCCGGTGGAGGCGGAAACAAATGGGCAGAGTTTCTTTCACTTTGATGCCCTTGTTCACCTAGCAGTATATAGGTACCTGGGAGTTAGACAGCTGCTACGGGCTGCTTCCTGGATGTGTGTGTGTGTGTGTGTGGATGAATGATTGATGATTTATGACTGACAGTTGAGAGGCGGGCCTAAAGAGCCAGAGCTCAGCCCTCGCAAGCACAACTAGGCGAGTACTCACACCATCCTTTGTACTCTAAAAATCTTCACAACTCACAAAAAGTAGACCTATTGTCTTATGTATGACCCTCTGTCCTGCGTGACAGTGAATACCAGCATTATCCTCACTTTCATAAGACTTTATCAAAATCCTCAGATTAGGCAAAATTGTAATTAATTTTGTCAATAAAGATATTAATAATAATAACAACTCATAAGCTCCAATACCGTAACAGAAAGGTTGTGCCCAGAACACAAATGTGTCATCTGAATATACTGTGTGTTTGTTTTG